AAGCAAGCACGTGAGGCGGCAGCAAATGTCGCTTCAAACGCCAACGCCGCACCTGCTCAGCCTACGGCTCCTGCAGCAGGCGGTGAGGGCGGGAAGAACGGAACAAAAGGCGGACATGCTGGAACTTTACGGAGACTGGCGCCTGCCAGTATGGTGCCAATTGTAAGTTTAGGGCCAACGCGCCCGGTCATCCGTGACATCGGCTCCGGGGCGGCTCCGGCTACGCCGGGCCTCCCGACGGGGGTTTGTATTGGCTTGCTATGCTTCCCCAAATGGCGTTGTTCCTTCTGTTGGGACGCTTTCGACGTGTCGTGCGGCTACGCCCTCGGCAACCAATTCCCACTGAAGACTCGCCCGACGATGTCTGTTTCACGGCGTGCGCTGCTACGCTCAGCGTGCGGTTTTCTTCGGGTCTACCCGTCGACCCCCTTGACTTCGTTTCTATGACTGAACGCAAGTCCATGCTCTCTTCCACGTCGTTTGCTTCGGAGAGGCCAATGATGGAGCTATTGTGCAAGCTACTGCGTTCCTACCCGCACGCTGTTCGCCGTGCGTACGGCGAGCCGCCCACTCAGGGCTTCGGTCGCCTGATACGGCGTGGTCGACAGGCTCTGTGTGGTTCCCAGTCACAACTAAGGAGCCCAAATACACTGAACGCGCTCCGTCGAAGGCTCCTCCAAAGCCGGTGCCTATGGTACCCGGCTGCGGATTCTGGACCTTCCCAGAGGATGTCAAGCGTAAATTGGACCGACGATCTCGTGTTGCGCAAACGCGGGCACTGATTGATGCGGCCGACCTCGAAGATGAGATCCGGCACCTCTCGCTTTCATGGGGGCGTAGTGCTCCGGGGAACAGGGCTTCTGGGAACGTATCCGCCGTCCCGGGAGGCCCGACTGCCGTTCAGCTCGGTCACACCAAGTTCATCATTGATACCAGCTGCGGCTATAACTTGGTCTCTGAGAAGTTGGTGCGGGATGCAGGCGCTCTGAGTTGTGTTAAACGACTTCCAGCCAGCATAACTGTGAACACTGCCGGAGGTCCGTCACGGGTCCTCAGTTCAGTGAGCGTTGCATGCCCCGGGTCCTCCCTAGAGGCGGTCGTGATGCGTTCCACGCCCAGCGTTATCTCTGTTGGTGAGAGGTGCATGAACCATGGCTTCAGTTTCCACTGGCCCGCTGGCAGTACCCCTTATCTTACACTTCCCAAAACGCATCAGCGTATCCATCTCTCTGTAGAGGGGAAGATTACGTACCTGACCCTGAAGGGCAGGGAGGAGCTCGGAATGTGGAGCTGTGCAGTCGCGGAGGAGACCGAGTGTCTTGAGAGGTGGTGTTGCGTGGAGCCCTCGGCCAAGGCTTATTTGAATGACGTGGAGCAGGTGGGAGGTCCGCCCCCGCAGTCAATTCGACACCGCGCAGCCCGTGACATGCACGCGCAAGAGTTGATTGCTACCCGCCGCTATGAGAACGGCTCCCCTGTGGACCCGGATGACGTTTCGTTTCCATCAGACTCACTTGATACGATCACCTATTTCAATTATTCCCCAGCCCAGGCACAGGCTCTTGGTTGGAGCTACGCTCCCACCTCGGCTGTTGCACCTAGTCCACCACTGGCGGGTCGCTCTACGAGCCCTCCGCCGTGTAGCCGCAGCGCTAAGCGCAAAGGATACCGGTTATCACAAATTTGCGGCGTGTTTGGACGTAAGTTTTACGGCTGGACATGCTGTGCGACTCACCCGGCTACGCCTGGGGAGGAGTCAGTAGTGGAGCCAGCTGCAGAGGGAGCCGAAGACTACGTCGAGGTCCCCCCTGAGGCCGACTCTGAATCTGAGGTTGGGGCACCACCCTTGTCGAGGGTGGAGCGCCTAAAACAGGCTGCGGTCTCCCTCGCGCATCTTCTCACCCACATCCCTTTCAACCCGTGCTGCAAAATCTGTGCTGGATCTAAAGCTCTCCGCAAACAACACCGTAAAAAGCGGAACAAGGGCCCACTGACCGTCCCCAGACCATACTCTGAGTTTCTTAATAAGCGCGGGGGGGTCGCCGCCCCCGCCGACAGCCCCAAATCGACCCCCGTCGCGGTCAAACCCCGCGCGCTGAAAGCGCCCCGACCCCCGTCGCGACCCGCCGACGTGGCGAGGCTGACCCCCGTCGGGGGGGTACCCCCCGCGCTTATCAAGGAATTCAGAGTGCGCTAATCCGCCATGCTTTGGGCACCTGACGACCATGGATCACTGGTTCGCTGCGGATGACCTATCGCGGGGTATTCATGATGAGACCGCGTGCGTGATGTTTGTGGACCGTAAGTGCAAATTCTTGGTGGCAGGGCCCGTCCATGATAAGCAGGGTTACCACGTGTGTAACTGTTTGGTCAACCTTGTGGGCCCTGAAGAGAAGATCACATGTTCTTACACTGATGGGGCTCCTGAGCTCGCAGCTGCCTGTAGGGAGCTGCATACTGCCCATGACCCTACCATTCCAGGGGATAAGATGGGAATGGCACATGCGGAGAGGGCTAACGGGATTGCCCAGATGGGCACCCGGGCGCTGCTAAGCGGCGCTGGGCTTCCTCCTCCGTGCTGGCCGTTCGATGTACGGTACTTTTGTTTATGCCATAACGTACAGCACGACGCTGAAGGCAATTCCCCGTGACAAGAGCGATACTACGAGGACTTCATATTGCCCCTGTTACCCTTCGGGTCCTGGATCCTTTACATGCCTCGTCCTCGATCTCGCTTCCAGGTCGCCAAGACGTCCTCTGCGATGGTGCCTGGCATTTATCTCGGGTATGTGCACAAAGCGGGGGGGCTGGTTGGGCCCGAGAGTTACGTCATCCCTCTACGAGAGCTTGACGGACTGAACATGGAGACGGGACGCACCCCTGATGGCAAGCGCCCGGTCATTGAAAAGACGGACTACGTCTACAGCAACATTCTTGACATTGGTCGAGTCTCGTGAACCCATCGTTCCCATGAGGACAGCATACGAGAAGGCCCAGCGCGAAGTCAAGAGCGTCGTCCTTCGAACCCCTGATGTCCCTAGTGGCTCAGCCGGTGGCGCCTTTGGCGGTTCGCTACGCGGGCTCTTCTCACCAAGGAACTCGTCAGGCCATTGGCCTGGCGGCTGCCGCTACGCGACGCAGCGTTCCGAGGATGCCTTGTTTCTTTAAAGACATTGTTCAGTCGGGGCACAGACAGAAAGAGCGTTTGGACCTGCAGTCGATGCGCAACCTTCTGACAGATTCACCCGCGTTCATTGATGAACCTTTTGCTTTGCCCGATGAGTTCAGACAAACGCGGATTGATGCGGCAGTGGCCCGCTCGCTCTCCAAGGCCGAGGCTAAGCAGAACAAGGATGCTGCGGATGCCCTCAAGCGCGAATGGGACCGCCTTCGTGAGATCCGCACATGGGACGAAGAAAACGTCCGTGAATATGACGACGTAGTGCGGGAGCTCAAGCGACACAATAAGACGGCTCACTTCGGGCGTCTGTTCGCAATCTTCGTCGAGAAGAACTCTGAGCTACCTGCAGGCCATAATGATAGAACGTTCAAAGGACGTGTTGTTTTTGATGGGTCGGACGTTCGGGGCCAAAATAAGGATGTCGCGCTCTTTCAGGAGCTCTCAAGCAGTCCCGCAACGATGCAGGCCAGCAAAGCCGCTGATACCTACGGCCTTTTCAAAGGACACAACGTTGAACAGGCCGATGCTAAGCAGGCCTACACTCAGTCCAAACTCGGGGGGGGGGGGGGGGCTACGTGGGTTTTCCTTCCAAGGGAGGTGTGGCCTGATGCATGGGCGGGAATGAGAAATCCAGTTTGCCCCCCTGCTTCTGTCTTCGTATGGACACCCAGACTCAGGCGGTTATTGGGAGCAGCACTGTGAGGGTCACCTCTTGGCCACAGGCTTTGAGAAGTGCTCCCCTTGGCGTAGATGTTACCACCGCCCTGAGCTTATTTTTCCTTATTGTGTACGTCGACGATTTCAAGTTGGCAGGTCCGCAAGGCAATATCCCCAAGGGATGGGACATGACTAAGAGCCCTTCTCCTTCATGCCCTAAGGGCATTGAGATCGACCCGCCTACGGCTGTCGGTCGCTATCTGGGTTGTGAGCACAGTGTTTCTACGAAAACGGTGGGGTGGCAGGGGCAGTTGCCTACTGACCTTGATCCGCCACTTCCGAAGCAGAAGAACACCGATGTCAACGATTCGGGGGGCGCATCTGCTCATACGGGGGGGGGTGACGAGGCTGCGCCTGCTCCCCCGTATCAGCCTCGAGAAACACGTGAAGTGCGCGTAATGACTTGCGATATGTGTGAATTATTTGAGTCATGTGTCTTCTTGTATGCCCAGCTCACTGACACCGACCCTCGCACCTACCCTGACGCACCCACTCCCTTTGGACCTGAACTCATTGATTTGGAGGACGGACAGGGGGGGTCCCGGGGGGAGGGCGTTCCTCCCGCGGAGGAAGCACTGGCAGTGGTCCTGGGTTTTGATTGTGCTCGTGGCCCTGAAGATGTTGCCATTGAGGTCGACGGCCTCGTTGCCAGCACAGACGACCCTGGCCCTCCTACGGAGGCGGGCGTCCTTCAGCCTATTGCTGCCAAGGTGCTTATGAAGATCCTCTATGGTGCCCGTATGGCTAGGTATGATCTTCTTCGTGCGGTGTGCCATGCGGCCAGTTGTGTGACGAAATGG